CTTTGGTCGGTATAATGGCCTTGTTAGGCAAACCATTATTGCTATTATATAAATGCATGTATTCAATATTATTCAGCAAGATTTAAAACCTTATTATATTATTAAAAATGTATCACTCAGGACAAATAGCATATCTCTGTCTTGTATCTGGAGCTGATAACTTTACGAATAATGACTTGAAATATAAGTAGTGTTAAAAAAATTATGAAACGGCATAGGCGTAGTCACAGGGGGGGCAGCGGGGGCACTAGCCCCCCCACTTTCAGATGTGGGGGGGCAAGAGTATGTCTGTGCCCCCCCACTTTTTAAAAGAAGAACAAAATCACAGCTATTTTCCCTAACATTACCTTTACTATAGGAAATATATATAAAAGTTGGCCTCTACCCCCCCCCCCCCCCCCCCCCCCCCACCCACGAAATAGGATTTTCAAGTTTGGGTAACTTTCCCTTTTTTTTTTTTTTTTTTTTTTTTTTTTTTTTTTTTTTTGCTTGTCAAAGAATTTCTGGAGTTGAGCCCCCCCACTTGTAAGTTGTTTTATTTTTTTCTTTCTTTTCAAAGAATTTCTGGAGTTGAGCCCCCCCCACTTTTAAGTTTGTGACTACGCCTCTGAACGGTGAAATTCTTATTTTAAATTGAGGAAATTCAAATTTAAGTTATTCAAAGAGACTTCAATACCAATACTAAATCATGTAATGAAAGGCTTTGTTCTAATAGTAAATTTAAAAATCTTACTTCGGAATGAAATTTTACTTTATCTGTTAATTGAAGAGCAATCAAAGAAAGAGTACGATAAAACATTCCACACCAGGGGCTCCTCCATTTCAAACTAAACATTTGAGAAGTGACACCCTCCAAAAATTCCTTTGGGAATCTTCTCTAATTTTTTTCTCCTGTTTTCACATTTGTATAAAATATATCTTTTTATCATTAATTTGTTTTTGCTTTATTTCTTTTCTTAGCTTCACCAGAAAGATTACACAATTACTTATATCTGAATGCATACTGCTGTATGCGAAATGTAATAAAGATTAATCGTATTGTTCTTGTGGACGTAAAAAATGTTTGCAATCAGTAGTCCAGAGAACTCAAATGGGAACCAACCTGAGACCATTGATAGGTTAAATTTACGTTAATCTTACTCGTTTTTCGGTCAAAAGAGATCGTAGTAATACGTCAACTCAGTCCAGGGGTAAAATTCATTTGTCATTTCTAATCAGGCAATTTTAGACACCTCGTATTGTCAATCAATACAGGCTCTCTATACTTCTTGTCCAATTTTATGGCACATTTTATTTTCTTGTTATTTCGACGATTGCTATATCATACACAGTCAAGAAGATTTGCTACAATATCGCCATCTTCAATAATCAAGGTTTTCTGATCCACTCCGCTCAAAATATAGCAATGTGGGTCAGAAATCCTTAACCCAAGATGCTCTGAATAAATCCGTAAATTTCGATTAGCTGAAGTAAAAATTGATTTTGAACTATAACTACTTCAACGTGATCCATTGCTTTCACGTTTGACCTTTATTACAAATCTTTATATAATAAATCTGATGATATTAACTTTTCCACCATCAACTTAACTTATTATTGTAGCAATGTACCATAATCACCTGCATACAGCGTTTATGTATTCCAGTGACAATTACACACTGAATTGTCTACGGACTTTTAAGTTTTTTCCCGATCATGAAAAGGAGCATACGACGGGTGTGACCGGTCGGCAGGAGATGCTAACTTCTCCATCGCATCTGATCCCACCTATGATGTTTTTAGAGGTCTGTGTTTTCTCTGCTACCAATTTTGTCTTTTTTCAATGGACTTTTGAACTTGATGTTTGTTGTTTCGTTCTTAACACACATTGCTTGCTTTGGCCTGGAGATATACACCCATATGCAGGTGATAAGGGTATAATTCTACATAGGTAAGGGAAATTGACGATAGAATGTTAAAGTCATCATGCTCATCAAAAAAAGTATTGTTGGTTTGTTTCCATTAACGTGTTTTTCTTGTAAAATATCAAGATGTGAAACAAATATGTCAAATGCTATTTTATCTTTTATTGCAACGTCCCTGGGGTATATCGAGTTGGCACATGAATTGATTAACATGTGAAGTCCAACAGATTGATCTCCAGAAATTAACGCGATAGGTATTGTCAACCAAAAACCCGCACATCTTTTTCAAATAAACTTGAGAGTACTTGTGTGTGCAATCTGAATGTTTTTTTAACAAAATAATTTTGAAATGACCAATGACAAGTTGAGTAAATAAAAGAGAATTATCTTTATTGAAAACAAAATTCTTTGACGTCAAAAAGCCCGTGCTTTAATTTCTCATTGGGAAAGATGCATATAGCGTTATAAAAACTTTTTTAAAGTTTTGATGTTATTGATTTTGATAAAATTTTGTGAATTCAGATTTTCTGAAAAAGTGCCTTTTTCCAAAAAGTTCCGTGGAGCTTTATGTGTCCATTTTGATTTATGGACTTCTCAAATATTTTGTGGTACAGTACTTTTGAAGTTTCTCCTTCGCTACTGTTAATATCAAAGTTAGGAGTAAAGAAAGAGTCTTAGTGGAACATTTACTGGAACCCACTTTTTTGTACGGATTTGTATAGTTTAGGAATTCAGTATAGGTATGGTTATTCTGTCCATTTGATTGTTGGGAATATTGAACTACTGTAGTATTTAAAACCGTCATATGATTTTGAAGATATGAAATTACATGTATGGGTGAAAGTTGGATTACCACTTGTAGAATTAAACCCCAGTTCCTCTAAAATACAATCAAAATAATAATACTTCCAAAATAGGCTATCCTGTAACTAGTCCGAAATATTTTACGTTTCCAATGTGATCTTCACGACTTTGATATCTGACTGTCATGAAAACGGGCGTCAAAACAGGCGCCATTATGAAAAGCGGGTTTTTGCCGCTCCCAAGTGAACTCGATTTTCGATACTTACAAATCGAATTAAGCGCACGACAAATTTATAGCATAATGCTTATAGTTCTCAACAATATCCCTTTAACGATATTTCAATACAGGTTTCACAAGATTTCAAAATAGGAAAAAAAAAAAAAACCTAGACAGTTTAATAAAATGTTTTGTTTTTTTTACCAGATTCTTTATGTTACAAAACAAACAATATAATAAAAGCAATTTTGGTAAGTACGATTAGATCATACTGTTGATAAGATAAGTTCGAAATTTAATTCGGTTTGCGTGTATTGAAAATCGACCCGAATTTGAGACGGCTAATTTTCACTTTTCATAATGACAACTGTTCTGACGTTTTCGTGACATGTCAAATATCAAAATCTTGAAGGGAAAAAACGCCTGCACACCTTCAAATATTTCGGACTTTTTTTTTTGTTACCTGCATTGTCACTTGCTTTGAAGGAGAAACATTGTAAAACAATGTTTGACAAAATTGAATACTTTAGGGTGTGCCATGATTTTAGGTAACGCAATTTGGGCGAAATCAAGTTCAGTGACAAAAAGTGTAAATTACATCGATTTTTGTACTTTTGTCGTCTTCTGTTAATAAATTAAGATCCACTTTATTTCTTTTATCGTCTTCTTTACTGAATCTTACTTTGCTTTTTTTAATTTGTGGATCCTTTTTTTCTGGTCGATGTCATCTTTGATTTGTATTTTCGTTGTCCCCATTCTTAAGACACATTTTGATTTTCATTGATGGTCTTTTTATCTGATTAAGGCATATATATTTTTTAGTTGTATTTTCGTTGTATTCTTTTACCGAGACAAACTTAAGGGGTTTTGTTGAAGGAAGAGGGAGGTGTGATTTCTCCTTGTGAAGCCCATATTGTAGTTGTATATTGAATGTGGTCCTTACCATTCCGACGTCTTTTCTTCAATGTGAACTTTTTTGTATATCTTTACATTTGTGGTACTGTGAGCACTGAGCTCACTTAATGATACCCCATCTCCCATTTGATTATATTGGCAAAATCCACTTTAATTTATTCTAGGAGATCCAAAATAAGTGTCAGATCAAAAAGGAAAATAGGAGGTGTACAAGGGCGTTATGTAATAAATAGTCTGTGAAAGAAACATTTAATTTTATGCAGTGATATAAGTTGAGTTGCGAATAAGAGATGGGTGCCCTTCAGTTTAATAGAAAGATTGGCAATGTCCATGTTTTGCTATGGGAGATCCAAAATATGTGTAGCATCAAAAGTAAAATAGAAGGTGCACAATGGTACTATGTAAGAAAGATTCTGTGAAAGTATCAAGAATTTCATTCAGTGGTATAAGAGGAAATGCGGATAAGAGATTGGTATCCCAAAGTGTAACAGACGGACGTACAGAAAGACGGACGGACATCCCGATCACTATATACCCTCCGACTTTTGAAGCTGGGAGTATGAAAACAAAATATCACTGAAACATTCACAAATAGCTTGCACATATGTGTCTCAGGTAGATAGGTTATTATTTTCCATAAATATTTTTATTACTTTGTATAAATAGAGTTTTTTACTACAACGAAGACAATAATAGCACCAAAAAATCAAGCTCTCTGGATCAGCAATGCTGATAGAACTGCTGTTACAATAGTTAATCGCCACGCAAAGGGTGTATTATCAGAAAATGGAGTGCATATGCTTGTTTGTTTTTTCATAACTCAGTTCAGAAACAATAAAAATCCTCTTACAAGTCTCAACAGCTTGCTGTCTTCTGGTGGCTGGTGTTCTGATGATTACATTAGGAAGTCGTGTTTTAATATCTCCAGGTTATTAAAAACCGTGCCTTAACTGCATCACATATTTCACACTTAAGGAACCATACAAACGCCATTGAATTCCAATCTAATACTATAAACACTTCTATTTAATATAATGCACACTCCTGGAGAAATATTGTATAATTTATATTTCATATAGTAATATATCCGATCATGAAAAGCCATTTCATTACTTTGTCGATATGAAAGTTAATGGCGATCGATTTAATTTGACGTGGAATGAAATAAGAGAATTTCTGACACTGGGATCTCTGATAAAGTCTAGAGATTGATCACCAATCGTACTATAAGATGTAGTACTACATCACCGACGAATGCTCTCCCGAGTTTCTAATGGTCCTAAAGAAAACATTGAAGATTCCAATCACGTGTCCATTGCTTTATGAAGTTTTTACATCCTTTCTATCTCTAAGCGTATCTTTGCTTAGCCTTAGACATCTCAACGATAATGCATTTAAATGTTAAATCATACGGAAAGGGCCGACTAATATAATAGGCTTAGTCAATGGAATAACGGGAAAAAGACGCTTTAGGATCTAACACCGCGGCTTTATCTCTTCAGCCAGAAATTAGCTTTGGACATTCAACAGTGAGGGAGAATCAACGGCTGATTTATGAAAAACTTGAATTTTCATATTGGAAACAATGAATGTGAGTAGAAATGACACAATACAATCGGCACCTCAGATCTCAACATTTTTACAATCGCTCTTCATCGTGATGTATTCGTTTATTATAGTGATTGCAGTTGGGGGAAACAGTGTCGTGTGTTATTTGGTGTATGCTTATAAGCGGATGAGGACGGTGCCAAACTACTTCATCGTCAATTTAGCCTTAAGTGATATTATAATGGCGATTTTCTGCATTCCCTTCACGTTTGTGGCCAATCTAATGCTTAATTATTGGCCATTCGGAGAGTTAATGTGTCCAACAGTATGTTACCTTCAGATTGTCTCTGTATTTGTGAGTGCTTACACACTTATGGCAATGAGCGTAGACCGATATATAGTGATTGTACATCCGTTTAAGAAGAGAATAACTACAGGCTATACCTTATTTATCATTATTATCATTTGGATTTTATCTCTTTCTATCCCTATCCCCACATTGTTCAATGCCCGGATCGAGTATTATTCGAACACGAGTGGACAGTGCCTAGAGATTTGGGAGGGGAACGAGAGAGGGCGGTACGCTTACAGCGTGGGGATCATGGTCCTACATTATTTTGCCCCGATGGTGGTCATGATGTTTTGTTACACGACAATCAGATATCATATATGGCTAAAACATAATCAGAAAGACGACCAGAACAAGAGGCGGCTACAACTGGCGTCGGCCAAACAAAAAGTAAGTGTGATGTATGATGTATAAAGATGCATTAAAGCAATGTACAATGTTGTCATATTTTGTCACGTTTAACACTGTTCTTTACAATTCATTGTAAACCATGCTATTCAACTCGTAAAATTTTTTCTTAATGTTTTAAGAATTCTTTAAAAAAAAAAACAGATTGGAAGTCCTGAGGAAGTTCTTATGCGACAGTCATGTGTTACAACACTACAGCAGTGAAGATAAGGAATATTGAAAATTAAAAAAAATATATACAAACAATATAAATCCAACAGGGCATTCAAATGCACACGCAGAAATTTCAAATGTAGGATCAAGTATCTAGGAGAAAAAAAGCCTCCCTTTAATCGGTTACACCCACCCTGAACCCTATGACTGATCAAGTAGACGGGATTCCCAGTCAAAATTAATTTAAAACTAGAGGTACTGTGAGCAATGAGCTCACTAAATGATACCCCCGCCTCCCATATGATTATAATGGCAAAGTCCATGTTTTGCTGTGGCCGGGAAACCCCAAATATGTGTCGGATCAAAAAATAAAATAGTAGTTGCACAATGGCAATATGTAATAAAGATTCTGTGAAAGTTTCATTAAATTTCACTCAGTGGTGTAAGAGGAGTTGCGGATAAGAGATGGGTACCCCAAAGCGTAACAGACAGACGGACGGACGGACATACCGATTACAGTATACAATGTACCCTCCCACTTTTCAAGCGGGGGGTATAACAAAGACCATAAAATTAGTATAAGAGGGTCAGCCAAAATACGACCCAATGATAGGTCATACTTACAAACAAGATCATCATAAAACTATAGAATTAACGAAATACTGAGATATCAACTTGTATGTGAAAAGCTTGTCTAGTTTAAAAAATGAACTTACTTGTAATATAGATTAAATTTAATAAAGTATTATTTTTTTAAAAAGCTCCATGGTCCAAAAATAGAAAAAAATCATTTTATATTCTGACAGGTATTGTGTCAGGTTTTAATCTACATATTTTAAGGTAATTAGCAATGCAGATTAAAATACATTTGTATGTTACATTCATATTTTTGTTAAATTACAGGCATCCTGATAAAGTATACAAAAATTCATGATAGGAATCATAATGTATAAAAGCTAAAAGCTTATTTCCAGTGGGACTATGCTAGCTACTGATTCCCTAAATGCGTAATAAATATTTAATTAGATAATGCTTTTATGTTCAACAATAAGAGCAATATGGAAAATTGTTATCTGTTTGCATATGATATATATATAATATACATGTACATTGTATGAATAGGGAGTTTCTGTAGATAATCGAATTTTGATGCAATCGCAATAGGTCTTTGAAATAATTTTCTTTGTACAATTCCTTTCATAGTATGGACTTTCCTGAAGCTATGAACTTGCATAGGACTTTATTTCTAATCGAATACAAAGTAAGCATTGGAAATCATGTAAAATCATGCAAACTATAATGCCATCTTTTGGCATTATTTATACAGCAGTGTTCTTTCTCGGTGCTACATTTTGACAAAACCAATATGAGTATGGTAAATGTGCACAGTACTTGGAAAAATACACATCTTTAAGAAGTCACCTTTCACATATGATATTTAATACATATTAAGGTTATGTCATTTTCTTGAATGATGTTGCGTTTCATTACAAGAAAGATGTGACCTTAATTTGTGCGAAAACCCATTTGAGTTTAAAAAGTGCGCGGAGCTGGAAATGCCTAGTTATCTTTATTCTATTATTTGTAATTTGTCCCCCACTGAAAGTGAGGGTATTAATTTCGGTCTGTCTGTACGTCTGTTTGTGGTTCTGTCTGTCTGTAACACTTTCGTTTCCACGCGATATATCGAGAAACCTTTGATCTTTTTCAAAGAAATTTTTAAATAACTCCCTATAGCCTAAGAAAGCCTTACAAATTTGATAAATTTTCACAAGTGAATAATAAAACAAAGTGTATTCACATATCTGATCATAGTAGAACTCCACCCTTCATCCAGAACTACAACCTAAGGGCCACAAATTTAACAATTCTGGAAGAGGCACCATTGCTCATTATAACCAAGCAATACTTTCTCTGCTAAAACCTCAAGAATAGATGATTATTTGGAATACTCAAATTGAATGTAATTTTTACTGTATGACCGTCTTGACATAAGAATCCCCGACCAAGGGGTGTCAAATTTCACAATTTTAGAAAGAAGCACCTTTTTTCATCAGATTTGTGCACTTGATTTTCTGCTTAGTGTACAGAAAGGAAGATTTTTAAAAGAAATTATGCAATTGCACTATATGATCAATAGGGCCCCTGAACTTTTCAGGGGTTATGCACTTGAGGGACAAAAACTAGAAAGCAATACATCAACTGAGTGATCTTAAAACTTTAAGAAAGTTCACAAAACCCAGATTGAAATATTTTTGGGAAGAACAATAACATTGAAGGGGTAAGGAGAGGGGGAGGGGTCTTTGAATAAAAAATTCTCTTCAAGACTTCTCTCAAATAAGAATAACAAGGTGGGCGAGTTAAAGACGGTGATTTCCTTTCTACGTTACCTATTCTCCATGTTTTGGAAACACCTTGTGTGAGAAATGTGTTAAGTGCATACATGTTTTATACCCCACATAGATGAAGTTATAAAGCTGTTTATTTAAAGCATGCATACCAGTACACCCTCTCGTACAGAATCATTGATTTCAGAGCGTACTGGGTACTATAATAATACCCTTCAGGCAATGATATAAACTGAGTTACACATTAAAGTGTACATAGAAGTCGTGTCTAAACCGTTCATAAAGTTCAATCATTCTTAACTGATAGGCATTTGAAAAAAAAAGAAGAATTAAAAAAAAGGAAATTTATGTTGTATATTGACAAATGCACGGAAGGTTTAATGGCTTTAATTATCAATAACAATCGATTAAGCCGTCATCATAAAAACACAATTTGTTTACCCTCCCTCTCCTTCTTGCTTTACGGACCATAAGGAGGTGTAATCAGGTAAAACATCTTGTTAAAACTTCCTGCATTAAATTTTCTGCAGAGAGTTTGGAGTTGTCGGAGAGTAGGCTTGCTTCGTGCAAATCGGTCATTAAGCTTCCGACGATCTGAAATAATAGGTGTGTATAATAATTCTTCTGACTTCACATTAAACCTCCCCGATCGAGCATTAAGATATGACTGATATGAAAACTTGTGCTAGAAATATTCTCTTTTTACCATAGAAAATCATGAACAGAGCCTCTATGGAGTTTCGTGTTCTGTTTCTTTTTTTTTTCTTTTTTAATTTTTTTCTACGTCTTTTAAAATGTCTTGATGTGCTGTTGGTAGCAGTAGACACCTGAGTATTCCCTGACATGCTCAAATTTAATCATACTTTTTTTGTTTTCATTTAAGAAAGTAAATCAAATGATTTTTAATAGTTTCAGGCGTCTTTTTTTGTATTTATATGAAGCAGAATTTATTCAAAAACTTGTACATGAGAAGAACACACGTACTGTGTCCTTCATCTCTACTTTTAGATAAATCGACGTATTACCAATTACATGTAACAATAGTTACAAATGTACTTCCATTCATATGTCGATATATCCAAGTGAACGTGATGAAAATAATTCCATTGAGTCTGGCACATATTTGGATTTTTTACTAGAAAAAGGACGTTAATGGTAACCTAACAACAAATCTGTATTAAAAAACGTGATGACTTCAAGGTTTCTAATAACTTTCTATCATCAGCTTCCCTTACTTGTGTGGCAGTATACCCATTGCACCTGCAAATGGGATATATGGCTCCCAGTTGATCCAATGAGTGCAAAAGAGCATACAAAAATTTTCTATAAGGAGACAAAATATCATTGACAAACACCTCGATGACACAAGCCTTTTTTTAAAAGTCATCATTTCACAAAGTTCTATGTTCAATACAATAACCTTTCTTTAAAAAGTATCCTTAAATCGAATTCTTTGTAACTTATTCATATTAATTGTTATATCATAATTTAGACATTGAGAAAGGATTCAGGATGGGTGTGACCGGTCGGCAGAGGATGCTCCCTCCCCAATGGTATCTGATCCCACCTCTGATGTTTTAAAGGTCTGCCTTTTTCTCTGCCCCCGGTTTGTACAGTTTCAATGGGTTTTTGATCTTGACCTCTTTTCGTTATCTCCATTTCTTATTGTAATGAATTTGTCAAGAATTTTTTTTCTTTTTCTTATAGTTTTAATTACATTGCAAGCAGGTTTCTCTGCTGTAACAAAGTACAATACCTCACTTAGTCCAATGTATCAATATGTCTTTAATGACTTAGGTTCCAATATGCTTATATTGGTCAATACCTGAAGTCAAATTAATCTTGCAAATATAAACTAGGTTAGACATGCCCAAAAGCATATTGGATCAATAGCAATCACAGGAAAAACAAAATCATTCATTGAATGTGGAGGTTTGAGAAATGTGACGACCGCTAACACAGCTGCATGAATGTCAGTGTTAGGGAAATGTATTGTTTTGATCGGGCTAAATGTAGTAATATGGATGAAATGCCAGTACCTTTGAGTACCATTATTTATGGTAATGCACCACTACACTTGGTAAAATATTGGTTCTTATGAGAACTAATGTTCATGAAATGAAAGATATGAAGATAACGAACAGTATTAAAGAACAAAGTCTATAAAACTATACAAAAAAGGAGCAGAGCAAACATGGACCTCCAAAACATCAAAGGTGGGATCAGGTGCCATGGAGGAATGAGCAACCCCTGCCGACCGGTCACACCCGCCGCGTGTTCCTTGTCATGATCGGGAAACAACGGAAAAATCCGTCGTCAATTCAGTTTATAAATAATGGATTAACAATTAGTATGAAAAACGTCAGTCAGCATTTGACTCAGTGATAAATTGTATTTGCACACAATGCAAATTTATATTTGCAACATTTATAAGCATAGTTGAATACCATAATTGGTCAGTATAGTTCTTGTAAAATATAG